TGTGTGTGTGTGTTTGAGTATGAAAACATGAAGTGGAGACAGTCAATGCATTTCAGCTCATTGTAGTCATTATTCTTTCTGAACTCAAGTTGTCTCACTTTGCCAAAAGTAGGCTTTTCAATTGTCCTTCTGTCATGATCACAATAAGATGTCCCATGTTCATCCTGCACATTTCCCACCTAAAGCCTTGAATCAGCCATTTCTCTCAGTCCTGATTTCTTTCAGTGATGATTAGAATTTGGTGCCCATAATTTGTGAATTATTTACCCATTATTTACATTTTTGGTGTATTTAAGATGTCCTTGTTCTTCTAGTGGACAAAGATAGAAAAGAGGTCATTTTTAAGAAAAATATTAAATGAATTATGAATTCATACTGACATATCTAAATCATAGGTTACAGGTTTTTATTTTACTTAAAAACATTTATATATGCATCTCTTTTCTCTTATCCTAAAAATTTGTTCTTTGAATACTTTTAACATTTATATGTATTGTATTTTTGCCTAGGTAAAAAGTAATAGTGTTTTTTATGCTACTCACTAGAAGACCAATAAATATTGTCTGTGTGTATGTGTGTGTGTGTGTATTTTGTCTTCAAAATACGGTCATTAGAGATGTACTGTCAAAATACTGACTCAAAACCCTTTTAGATCTGATGTCAGACTTCATCTGACATAATGATTTTTTGTATACAAAAATAAGTGAAAACATTTTTATTATTTTATGTCACCTAAAATAGATAATAAAATCATCAGGTGATTTCATATTTATGTTTTTAACTGTAGGACAATTATAAGTAATCTACCAACCTCTTTCTTGACCCAAATAAATAAAAGCTGGGGATTATGTGGGTGGCAGAGAAATCAGATTGGAGCATTTATTTATGTGCTTATAATGCTATGAAGAAAAACTTTAACTTGCCAATCATTGGTTGATATACATATATTTAGGTTCTTTTTTATCCCATTTGTTTTCAATTTTTGGAGGTTGAGCTTTTTTTCCCTTTTGGTTTAACCTTTTTTTTTTTTTTTAAAGATTTATTTATTTTGTTTTTTAGGTTTTTGGCTGAGGGTTGGTTTGAACTGGCCACCCCTGGCATACGGGGCCAGTGCCCTATTCCTTTGAGCCACAGGCGCCGCCCTACTTTAACTTTTAAATTAATGTAAAACATTTATGTAGTTCCAAAGTCAAAACTATGAAATCCTGTATATTGGAAAAGAGTTTGCTTGAATATTTGTTCCCTTATCCATTCTCATCCTTCCCTCAACAGGTAACAATTTTTATTAGTCTTTAGTGTATCCCTCCATTGTTTCTTCTTCAGAAGATTAGCAGATATGTGTCTTATTTATTTCCACTTCTTACACAAAAGGGGGCACAAGTTCACCCCAACACAACACCCAACACAAGTTCATTGCGCGTTTTTGCAAGTCGATGTTAGTAGTAGATTCCTAGATGGGGTTTGCTGGGTCAAAGGGAAAATCCATACACATTTTACTGGGTATTTCCAAATTCCTTTCAATAGAGTTTCATTTTTTTGTTTTAGAAGATTTAAAAAGGAAGGGTTTTCTAGTCTCTGACCTATTAAATCAGAACATGAAGACTGAGGCTCCTAGGTTAGTTGGGTGATTACTCAGATTTGGGAAGCCTATCCTGTAGGAAATTTTATTTTATTTATTTATTTTTTTGCATTGTTTTGTTTAATGTTTTTTTAAATTTAATTTTTATTAAATCATAACTGTATTCATTTGTGGGGTACAATATGATGATTTGATATACAATGTAGAATGCTTAAATCAAACTGGTTAGCATAACCATCACCTCACTTATTTTGGGGGGCAAGGCATTTATAACATACTCTTAATTGTTTTGAAATGTGCCCTTGCATTGTGCACATTAGGTGAGATCCCTCCAAATACCCTTCCCTCTTCTTCTTTCTGGACTACACTATGGGAATTTTTTTTTTTTTTTTTTTTTTTTGAGACAGAGTCTCACTATGTCACCCTGGGTAGAGTGCTGTGGCGTCACAGCTCATAGCAACCTCCAACTCTTGGGCTTAAGCAATTCTCTTGCCTCAGCCTCCCAAGTAGCTGGGACTACAGGTGCTTGCCACAATGCCTGGCTATTTTTTTGGTTGTAGTTGTCATTGTTGTTTGGCAGACCCAGACTGGATTTGAACCTGCCAGCTCCTGTTTATGTGGCTGGCATCCTAGCCACTGAGCTACAGGTGCTGAGCCTATACTATAGGAAGATTTAATGCCAACATTAAATTAAACCCAATTTATTGCTCACTTGATATGTGTTAGATACATACAGTGTTGGGCCCTGGTGGGAGAAGCCCCCAAATGAATGTAATATAGCCTTCCCCGAATGATCTCAGAGACTAGACAGTGGAGGAGGAGAAGTATTTATAAACAACTGATTACTAATATCAGGAGACTGTTGGTATAATATGGTGCTAAGGGCTCACAGAAGAGTGGATGTGTGTGAGAATTATACCTGGACTAGACTGGAACTGACTGTTCCTAATAAAGCAGAAATATGCATTTAACAAATTCTTTTTAAATTAATTCAGTGTTTCCTGAGAAGAAATACATCCTGACTCTGACCCTACCCCATTCATACTCACTTCTTTGCTTGTTTTGTTTTTTGACTTAGCTTCAAACTTTCAAATTGGAACTGCCATGGACATTTGTGGACATTTGTGAACCAGAAATCATAACAGTCTTCAGAACCCTGATATAATAATATTTTCAGCCTAAAAATACAAACATAATCATTAGCATTCTGTGATCTGCATAAAATAAATAATGTCATTCATGTAGTTGACAGGAGAGAAGATAAAAGTCAATAAAAAGAATTATTTATTAAAAAGGTCTAATGTTACAAGAACAGTACACAGAACTAGTATCTGACCGTGCCTCCCACAGGGTCTATACCTTATATATAGTATATATACAGATTGTATACAATATATTGAACGATTTAACATGGGGGCCACAGTACATTCATTTGGGTGTGGAAAACATTTGCTTTCATGAAATTTCTGGAGTATAACGAATGCTATTTTCTTCTCAGTTCAATCAACATTATACAAAAATACAGTCTTTTTAGTGATTTAAGACTGCCTGGTTACTATCCCATCCAGGAAAAAGCTCACTTAGTACTGTAGCTGAAAAATAATGTTCCTTGTTAAGGAATGCTGTTCTGCTTTCTAAAAGATAACAAATAATGTCCTATTAATACATAAGTACATAAACATCAAAAACCTATGGTTTTAAATAAGTTTATGATGTGAAATACGTAAAACACCCCGTGTCTCTGATTCCTATAAGAACACAACGTCCGATATTCTACGTGTAAATGTCTTGTCAGATGTGTGCCATCCGTCAGCTAACTGGGAATGTTAGGTAATTAGAATTTGCCATGTTTTGGCATTCTGTTTTACTGGGCTTTGCTTTATAACAGTGTTATACTTGATTTGTAAAGTCCTTAACTAACTGTAGCACACTACAGCATGAAAACAGAAGAAAACAGTATGATTCATTGAACATGTAAAAATTAATTTTCATTTTTAAGTATTCTTTTTGCATTGTTGTGTAGATGCAGAATTTATTCTTGCAGTTATACCCTACTTGAGAGAGCTCCAGTTCTGTCAGCTAGTTAGTACCCCTCTTCTTGAGAAGTCCAGTCTCTCCCACTCCAAAGGAGATGTTCCAGAAGGGTTCTTGGTCATTGTTATCAGGTTAGGTATTTACCGTTTGTAGTACTTACTAGACTAATATGTTGACTGAGACTTTTAAATAACTTCTTATTTGTTTAGGGCTGTCTTAGACATAATTTCTCCCAAAGAGAATGCGTAACCGACATACAGAATTTTTCTGTGGCTCTGAAACTAACTTTTAGGATGTTCTGAACAGAAACTTCAATCTTGCCTCTTATTCTACAAGGATTAACTTCTAGAGCTAGAAATTTAATCTCAATATTGCTTTACTTTTCTCTTTATTAAAGATGCAAATAGAATTAATAGGTTAGACTACATAAAAGGAAATAAACTACGTTTTATTCTCACATTAACATCACCTATAAAAGGTGTTTCTTCAGAGTCTTTTCAGGAATATGACTTTGCAATTAACTATATTTTCAGATATCTTTGTCTGAAAGAACAAGTTTTTCTTTTGTGAGCTCAAAGCATGGTATATAGCTGATATATCAAATGTAAAGGCAATTCTGGCATATTCCCATATTTGCTAGAACTTCTGTAGGATATCATCAAGCAGAAAACTGTTATTTCACTTTCCAACAATTACCTAGGATCACTTAGGCTCAAATTGATTGATCAAAATAGCAGATGGGATCACCTCCCAAGCCACAGAATCAAGCTGAGCCCTTGTATTGATGCCATAATCCATAGTTTAATTAAAAAAAATTCATCAAAGAGAGATCTTTATTTTCATAATTGAAAATATTTTATAAATGGTATGTGATGTATGGAAAGGTTTTTAAACATCAAAATTTATTTGTTATGCTTGAACCACTTTAATCCACATACTATGATAATTATTTGCACAACAAATTTTCATTGCCCTTAACATTTTTGCCATTAGTAGCGAAGCTTGGTTCTAATTCAACATCTGTTTTGGCAGTGGGAGGGAAAGTGATAAAGTTTTGTCCCCTGTTCATTTTATTCTTAAGTTAGCACCCGTGGGAGCCTGTCTGCAGTGTTTAGTGAGCTTATATTTTTGGTGACTTCAAACTATCTTTTATTATTAAAAATAAACATTTGCTTTATTTGCTTCTAGATAACATAGTACTTTATGAAAGACAATAGCACTTCAATTCATTTGGACTCACTTTCTCCTTACCTTGCACTAATGTAAATGGCTTATTCCCTATCCTAGTAACTTGCTCTGGGGGGTGCATATAGAATAGCACATTGACAAATCTTGCTATTTCGCTATGCAATCATACAATATTTTGCAAGAAAAAATTTTGTATACTTATCCTATAATGGGCCAGATAACTGAAGTACTTTTCACATCTCCTGCTGGTTTGGCAGTTGGAATAATTAACTAAAGGGAAAATGGAAAACACTGGACTCAGGCTTTTCATTCTCAGGTTTGTATTTGTTTTAGAACAGACCTGCTAAAGACCACTTCCTTAAAAAATGGATGGCACACGCTTGGGGGTCTCAGATATAAAATCAAATCCCAACATATTAAAAAAGTAAAGAATACATTTGACAGAAATTACCTTTGCTTACAAAAATTCATTACATACAATCTGCATATTTTTTATTGGACCACGAACTGTCCTCTCCATTTACAAAGACCAAAGAGAAACCTGATGGATAAGTAGTCCCCCCACCCCAACCTCCGGCAAGAGCACCACCTGCAGTCCCAAGCTGGTGAAGCTCAAGCTTCTCTTAGGATTGGGGCCTCCACTTACACTACTCTCTATTCACTGCTGTTACCCAGCTAAGCAAAGAGAACGCAAATGAAGTCAGCAGTTTTCACCAGGAAGTGGAAGGAATCGTCAGCGCCAGGAGCAGCGTCACTGATGGTGAAGATGTGGAGAAGGTGTGGAGGGCGGACTGAGCACTTGTGATCTTCCCACCTGTGGAGCAGGAGAAGCACCATGAGGACAATTAGTTTGGTTCTGCTTGGTTTAGGCAAGAGCTGTTTTTAGCGTGGAAGACAAATGAGCACCATGTTTGTCCTGTTTCTTTCTCTCTTTTTTAAAACTTTTACATAATTTTTGAATTTTAGAACAGTTTTATATTTGTAGAAAAGTTTCAAAGTATAACATATATTTCTGTAACACCCTGACAGTCTCCCCTACTGTCACGTTATTGTTATTGCGTGTTACGAAGTACCAAGTCTAAACGTTATTCAGTGTTTTTAGTATTTCCCTAACATCCATCTTTTGTTCCAGGGTCTCATCCAGGATCCCATGTTACATTGGCCATCGCGTCTCCTTACACCCCTCCACACTCTAACAGTTTCTCAGACTTGCCTTGTTTTTGATGACCCTGACAATTTTGAGGATTCCAGTCAGGTAGTTAGTAGGATGAACTTTATTTGAGATTGTTTGGTTGTTTTCTCATGATTACACTGGGGTTACGTGTTCTGGGAGGAGATGACCCTCTCATCACACCACACTGAGGGGATGTGCAGTCTACCCAGCTTATCAGTGTGTGTTGGTCTTGATCACCTGGCTAAGGCAGTGCTTGACGGGTTTCTCCACTGTTGGGTTAACGTGAGCAGGAAAACTCATGAATTCAAGTAGGGAAGAGGTAGGAAGGGAGGGAAGGGGCTTGGGAAGCTCCCGTCTCATGGGTACAGTGCAGGGGTGTACGACAGGCCTTCCAGGTAAAGGATTCAACTACAACTTGGAGGCTACCTAAGAAATGCAAACAACGTAACCCAATTGTATGTGCCCTTATATTAATCTGAAATGAAGACAAATAAATACATTTAGTTATTCTATGCATCCAGCATTTTTAGAGTCTATAGTAGCGCCCCACAGTATCCGTGGCCTTCACTTTCCCTCCCTTCTTGCTCACTGACTCCCTATAGCAGCTTTCAGTCCTGCCAGCTCCATTCCTGGGAAGTGCCCTATTCAGGGGGACCACTTTTAATCTTTGAAACTGACTGGCTTTTTACTGTACCTTTTCCATGTTTAATACATAAACATTGTGTTGCAATTACCTACAGTATTCAGTACAGTCTCATAATGTGGAAGTTCATAGCCTTAGAGCAATAGTTGGTATCATCAAGCCAGACGTGTAGTAGCCTCTATCATTTGGGCGTGTGTGATTACCCACTGTGACGTTCACACTGCAACGGAGGGCCGACGGGTAGCTTTTTAGAATGTATCTCCATCATTAAGAGACATATGACTGGAATTACTTCTGTTAAATTTTCTCTTTAATAATAATAAAATATTATTTTATGTACTTAAATTATATGTTGGTCCTCAACTGATTATCTCAGTTGAGTGGGCTTAAATTCTAGTTTCTCATGCAAAACTTGGCAAAACCCAGCAATCTTTCTTCACTCTTATACTGAGGACAAGTTTTTCTTTTGTGAGCTCAAAGCATGGTATATAGCTGATGTATCAGAGCAGTTATTAGATTACACTGACTGATAGGAGACTGAAGCAGTTTGGATAGCTCCACAAAGCCACAAACTAAATACGACGTTTATTTATTTATTTATTTTAACTTTATTCAAATTAATACGAGGATACAATATTTAGGTTCCATTGTTCTCACTTCCAGGGTAAAGGTCCATTTGTAGAAGGGCCCCTCACCCGGGCGTGTTGTACACCCTCACCATGTGCAGTTAGGTGAGGTCCCGCCTCCTGCCCTCCCTCCTCTGCTCTGTGTCTTCTTCCCTACTCCCTCCCGCTTCCCTCTACCCCTAACTGGACTATAATAGTGTTTTATGGTTCTTAGGGACACATAATTGTTTATATACTAATTTTATATTAGTATGGAGCACATTGGATAAGTATTTTTCCATTCTTGCAATACTTTACTAAGAAGAATGAATAGGACTTTCAGACACTAACTTCAGGAGTGGTTCTGAAGCATCACCATCAGGATATCTAATGAATACTCACTATGCGCCCTGCACTGCACGAAGCTGTCATGTACATTATTGTACTTGATCCTCATGACATTCCTGTATGGGAAGTGCTATTATTTACTCTCAGTTGTAGACTAGGAACTGGCACTTAGATTGTAGAATTTGTTTAAAGTAACTGAGCTAGGGAGTAGGGGATTCAAACGCTTTTATGTATTATCTTTCTTAAGAGATGATGATTGACCTTAATTAAAACCTTAATAATAATAAAATCTGCCAATTATTGAACTCTTCTGTCACACTATCCTCTCTGCCAAGATTGAGTGTAATGGGATTCTGAGAGTGATTTTCGTTACACAGATAGAGTCTAAATTTATTTTCCAGGTGCTAAAGAGCTAAAGAATCATTTGTTTGGTAAAACCCATACATGCAAAAAAGCAACAAATCTTCTTTCCTTTGAAAATTGTTATAGCTAATGCATTACTACAAATTATTAATCAACATATTGGAGAACGTTACATATATTTTAATGGTACAAAATGAGATTATGGTGACACGCGTAGCCACATGTGAGCTATAAGAAAAGCAAGATGACGAAGCCTTCCCCGAATGACATGTACACGCTTAATAAATAAAAAATGTGAAAACATCTTTTCTATTTATTTGAGAGTGGCTGTGTCCTTGTTAAATCAACTTACACGACACTTTTAAAAAAGCCTCTCACTTTCAGAATGCTAAATAGGGTTTATATCTCAAATTCCAAATAGAATCCACAAGGTTAAAACATATTATTTTGGTTGACTAAGCATGTTTAAAACATATTATTTTGGTACAGTAAAATAAAATAATAACCCAAAAGGCCACAGCACAACAACATGAGACTAAGCACTGGGCCAGGCATTCAACTGCCCAGACATTGGGTTCTGGGATATGATAAAAATGAAGGCAACCATCACTCAGGCTCTGGGAGTCTAAGGTAGACAATACCGTGAGGTTTCCCTTTATTGAAACTCGAGAAATGGGTTACACCAATAAAAGTGTTATTAGTAAAACATAAAAGTTAACAATTTTTTTTATGGAATAGAAGTTACAAGTTAATTAAAATATAAATGGAAGGCTCAAGGTCTTTATAAGTACTTAAAACTTCAGGACTGACCTTATTCAGAATAGAATCCGACTGTGTTAGCCCTGAAAGGAACCTCAGAGAGTCAGAAAATAATAAAATACCTAATTCAAAAGATCGCTAGAGGCTAAAATGAGGCAATATATGGAAAACACCCAGCACAATGCCAGGAATGTGCTGAGGGCTGGGTAAATGCTCACTATATCGCTGTTATGAGAAATTTGACACCTAGGAAGCCAGAGGAGAGTTGTTATCTTTTTCACTTTTCAGAAAAAAAATCTTTAATCTTTCAAGGTGCTCTTGAAAATTTAGCACCCTCCTCTGAGCAGTTCAATTGTGAACTAATCAATGCGGAGCTAGTGTTACTGTTCTTGCTCTTGAAACCAGTTTTATAAATGAATCATAAAGCGTGTTAAGTGGTTCTGTGCCCACAGTGTAATTTAAATTCTTAGGTCTTTTTACCAGAATTTATTAAAAAGTCAGATTTCCCCTACTTTAGGTTTTTAACTTTTAACTTTTCATTTAAAAATAATTTTAGATGTACCAAAAAGTTGTAAAAATAGAATAAGGAATTTGCCCAAATGCCTTAAATGTTGACATTTTATCATTTTTGCTTTCTTGTTATTGCTATAAATACATATATGTATATGCTCCTGAATCATCTGAAATAAAATCACAGACATGATGCATCTTTGCTCCTAAATGCTTTAATGTATAGTTCCTAACAACAAGACATTTTCTGATACAACCACAGTACACTTTTTAAAAATAGAAGATTATTGTTGATATTATCAAACATACAGGTATTCAAATTTTATTAATTGTCCTAATAATATGCCTTATCTCGTTGTGTATTTTTATGTGAGAATTCAGAGTTTATCAAGTATTATGTCAACAGTTTTCCTCAAAGGTCCAACTATCCTCTTCTTCTCTACACGGCATTTGCTTTCTGTCCCACTTTGTAGAATAAAAAATAAAAAAATCATAAGCAGTGACTCTAGTTTGACTCCAAGTTGATAAATGTGTTGAATAACATCAGGCCACATGCAAAGCTTTCCAGGATATCACTGCAGACATCACATTAGGTTGATAATTCTGTTTGGGAATGATTGCTCAACAAATAAGGTTCATAATTACCTATTAATTAAATGCACATTAAAATTTTATATAATATTGAAAAATTGCCTGTTACTTTCTTAATTAGAGATTTGCATATCTCATTAAAGCTTTTGCTTCCTTTTTTGACTAACTTGACACAATGGTTACTTTCTCTCAAACTCGTAAAATCTCCCTTCCTTTAATCAGCGTTCCCCTGCCTGTGTAATAATGACGGTGGTTTTGGGGAAGATGGGTGGCCTTGGGGACAAGCACACCTGGGTCTGGATCCTTGTGCTGCTACTTAGTAATAGTGTGGTCTCAGGCAAGTTACTTAAATGTTTTTTTGGAAAACAGAAAAAATGTCACCTACCTCATATAATAGTTACTAAAATTAAATAAGATGATGTATGTAAAGCACTTTTGATCATGCCTGATATATAGCAAAGGCTCAGTAAAAGTGAGCAACTCTTAATATTGCAATAATAATGATATCCAGTGAAATGCATTTAGAAATTAATATTTCTATCAATAGTTATTATATTCAAATAATAACAATCGATTTAGTTGTGAGAAGATTACCATTGTTCATACGAAGCTCAGAGCAAGAAGTGAAACCCCTCAAAATCTCTGGACCACACAAGCTTTCATACCCATTTTGGTAGTGTTCATGCCATACTGATATTGTTGGTGATCACCAAATTAAGCCTGTCGTGTCCACATTCAACACCTACCTGAATATGACGGGACCCTGATTTGGGAACTCGCTGTTCCATCTCCTCCTTCACTACATGCTCGAACTTCGATAATGTAGACTCCAGCGTCAGGGAGGGGCACGACTGCTTGAGGTTTCTGTGTTTCAATAACTTGACTGCTGCTGTGACCCTCTTGCCTATAAAAAACCTATGAGTAATAACAAAGGTTTGAATATTTGATACACAGCAATCAATGTAATCAATATACATTTCGATTCAATATCACATTCTAAGCCAAGCACAGGCACTTACAGCTTAGATAGACGTGTAAGAAAATTGTATAATGTGTATGTCTGTATATTGCCATGGTAGCACAAGTAAAGGGGCCAGGGAAATGCAGTTTTACCCTTTCTGGGGATTTAGGGAAAGCTTTCCAGAAGAGGTGATGTCTCAACTAAGCATTTAAAGCTAAGGAGAGTTCCCAATTGGAGAAAGGAAGGAGAATTCTAGGAAGAGATAAGAGAAAAAAAAATATATCAAAATGATAAGAAACCACAGCATTAGGGCATGGAATAGAGAGAAAACGCAGCAACAGAGAGACATGAAACTTGAGAAGCAGGCAGGGAGGAGGAAGAGCAGTTGAAGTCTCTTTTGCCAGGTTATCAAAATGAATGTTATCTTGAGGAAATTCTGAAAGCTCTTGTGTTCAAAGAATTTTAATGGAGTAAAAAGAAAATTTTGTCAAACCTCTCAGCAAAAAATCCTTAACGATGTAGAAAATGGTTGAGCAGGCTGGGTGCAGTAACTCAGGACCATAATCCCAGCACTCTGGGAGGCTGAGGCAGGAGGATCACTTGAGCTCAGACTGGACTGAGCAAGAATGAGACCCTGTCTGTACTAAAAATAGAAAAATTAGCCCAGTGAAGTGGTAGGCACCTGCAGCCCTAGCCACTGGGAGGCTGAGGCAGGAGGATCACTTGAACTCAGGAGTTTGAGGTTGCTGTGAGCTCGGCTGACACCACAGAGTGAGACATTGTCTCAAGAAAAAAAAATAAGAAAGAAAGAAAATTATTGAGAAGTTAAAATTTCAGTTTTTTGGTGAACCAACATTTAGATATACTGAGTATAAAAGCTAAGGCTTTTTTGGCATCTATCTGTGGTATTTTAACTAAACATATGTATATGACCGAGTTTCAGAACTACAAATTAGAACTACAAATTAGGACAAAGAATTATCTTGTGTTTACATATCAGAAAACCAAGGCTTAAAAGGAGGGTGATTTATACCAGACCATGTGGGTAGTGAAGGCAGCAATTTCACTGGGTTAGTATTTTTACAATCACTTCTGTGCTCTGTCTCTCTATTGTACTATTCCTACCCATTTGCTCCAGTAATAGTTAACTATAATTTGTTTGGGATATAACAGGTAGCAGCAGTTATGACATATTTAAATGAATTTTTGTTCAGTTTTGTTGTTTTGTGCTTCTTTTTCTTTGCAGTTTTTGGCCGGGGCTGGGTTTGAACCTGCTACCTCCTGCATATGGGGTTGGCATCCTACTCCTTTGAGCCATAGATGCCTCCCTGTTTTGTACTTTTTCATAACTGGTATTATAATATGACTGGCTTGATAAAGGAAAGAAAAGTGGCTTTGCACTCCACAACTTTCTATAAAACATACAAAAGCATCTTCTATACCTTCCTGGCTAGGCAAATTTGGGCAAGTTACCAACATTTCTAAACTTTAGTTCACTCTACTTTATGGTAGAGACAGTATTACCTACTTTGTGGTTTTGTTAGGAGAATGATAGGAGGAGAGACAAATAAAATGCTCAGCACAGGACCTGGTGCCTAATAAGCTTAGTAAGAGAAAGTAACTCCTTCGATTGCCATCATTATTTATTGTTAATGAGTCATAGAAGATAGACTACTCATAGACTACTCATACAACTTCATCATAGAAGATAGACTAATCCTACAGCTGCAGATGCTGGTGTGGATGTGGAGAGAAGGGAACACTTTTATAGGGCTGGTGGGACTGCAAACTAATACAACTTCTATGGAAAGAAGTATGGAGTCCTCAGAGAACCAAAAGTTGACCTTTCATTTGATACCACAAGCTCATTACTAGGTATCTACCCAGAAGAAGAAAAATCATTCTACCATCAGGACATTTGCACCAGAATGTTCACTGCAGCTCAATTCACAATTGCCAAGATGTGGAATCCATCCAAGTGCACATCAAGCCATGACTAGATTAGCAAACTGCAGTGTATATACATCCTAGAATACCAGTCAGCCTTAAAAAGGATGGGCACTTTATATCTTTGGTATTTACCTGGAATGAGTTACATTCTTCTTAATAAAGTATCATAAGAATGAAAAAGCAAATATCTAAGGTACTCAGTACTAATACGAAACCAATAGATAAACAATTACAAGTCCATACAAGAGAATTGTTCAGATTGGGGGTTGGTGGGAGGTGGGAAGGGGATTGGTAAGTTCTCACCTAAGGAGCACAATGTAAGGGTATACAGCACACCCGCTGCTTGAAGGGCTCAATTAGAACTTGAACTTTACCTTAGAAACGAATGATGTAACTAAATCATTTCTACCCTCATATTAATCTGAATTAAAAAAATGGAAAATTAGAACAAAAAATTATATATATTTTTTGCTTTTGGAAAATGTGTTTTGAGCTTGAACTCACAAGAAAATAAAAAACTTTAGAAAAGAAACATTTTCACATATTGAAGCCAACGGGTACTTGATTCTCCTGTTTATTTGTGTTCTGGTAATATATGATCCCTCCATTTCAATTCTGTTATTTTTCATGGATTTAAATGTACTTTAGGTTCTTGGAAGAGGATTAACATCTCCATAAGTGGAAAAGATGTACAATGACTGGATCTATTGAAATCCTTCTTGAGATGGATGCCATAGCCTTAGGGTAAATGCAGAGAGCTCAGACCATTACCAAATATTATTGGGCACCTCATGGAGTGCAGGTAACACGCCATATTCTGGGATTTATCAGAGAACAAGACCACATGGTTCCTGTCTGCATTGTTCTTACAGTCTAATATTAAAGATAAATAAACAATATAATGAAGTTTGACATGTATTGCAATGGGAAACAAAGGGTGCCGAAGAACGTGTTCGCATTTTAATAAAAAAGCCATTCTTTTCATATCTGCCACATGGTGGCGCTAGCATTTATTTGATTAACATCATCTTTTGAGTGAACGTTATGCTACACATTTCTGCTGTAATGCAATTCAGCCTCAAAAAGTAATACACCAATAAACGTGTCTGCATTTTTTGGCACCCCTAGTATTTGATGTTACAGGAATGTGCAGACTGAGTACAAAGTCAAGATTTGGCAACTCAGAAACACTTCCTGGAGGATGTATGTAGCACATTCTTTTGGCTTAAAAAATGACAAACATATCAGAATTTATGCTTTTGATTTTGACTGAAGCATTATAATGAATTAGAATTCTGATCATCCACACAAGGTAATTAGAAAGCAAAATTTATGGGAATGGGAAAGTATGTAAATTGGTGAGGATTGGCAGGGGAGTGACTATTTTAGAGGACACTGTTATTATAGTTCAATAAATTACAATTTTCTGACAAAGAAAAATGCAGCCACCATGCATATCTAATGTTGCTGTAAAATTCAGACTTGAAGAAAAATTTGTGGATCAGCTGAGATTTAGTATCAAAAGGTAAAGGAAGGAGGGAAAAATAGTTAATGGTTGCAAAAGGAGTTTGAGATTAAATGTGGCTTTTACCAGTCCATCCAGGGAGATGCAGTGGGGCATTTTCATGTAGGCACACTCAGTGAAAAGAAACACTAAATTCATAGTTAATCTTAGGAACTTTAGAGAATCTTGGCTCATTTAAAATCCTGACTTAGAAAAGATGAATGAAAAGGTTAAGGACTTATCATGACATGTCAAAAACAATAATTGACAGTGAAGAGTCCAGGAAATTCACTGATATTATGGACATTCACAGACTGGCAGTTGTAATAAGATCTGTATATGCATGTACGTGCATAGAGGAAGCTGTCCAATGGATTGTCAAGATGTTCCTCAAATTCTATATTAAAAAAATCTGAGAGCAGAAGATTATCTAAAAGAATGATAAAACAAAAATTAGTGTGTTGTACTGCTGTTCTCAAATGTCTGATGGTAACAGAATATTGGGGTGTGTGTGATAAAGTATAATAGAATTAATTTCTACTGGTTGTACCCTTAGAAGGATGGATCCTGATTAGTGAGAAGGGTTGTCATTCAGCTGGGCACCTTGGGAATGTCGATGGGAACAACTGTATTTTTTTTTTTTTTGCATTTTTTGTCCAGGGCTGGGTTTGAACCTGCCACCTCCGGCATATGGAGCTGGCGCCCTCCTCCTTGAGGCACAGGCACCACCCAGAACAACTGTTCTTTACAACGCAGGGTGAGGAATCCAAAGCCCCAGTGACAATGGGGTGGGTGGGGAGGGGTCATCAAGAAGCCCAAAAGGCAGATGAAGGGAAGTCAGGAGGTGAAGCGCCAGAGAAGCCACCGGCTGTGGGGTGGCTGAATGGACTTTTAAGAACAGAACTTTTGGGGCAATGTTCAGATGATTGCTTGTATATTGTTCTTTTCTATCTCTATTCCAACATTTTTATAAAATCTGCTTCATATACATACTGGACATTATATGAGCCATTTCAGTATCAATTAAAAATATGGACAATCTAAAGCATAATCAGATATAAAGAGGACAGTGTACTGAATCTCATGTATCCACAGCCCAATAATGCAACGAATCTTGGGTACCATCACCCAACTTAAGCTATTATGGTGAGTCTTTTTTTTTTTTTCCCACTAAATAAGTCTTTTTAATTTGTGGAAACAAACTACAGAAGGCTAAGTTCCATATCTGAAGTGAACAGAAGATGAGGGAAATCAGCTGGACTGGTTTAGGCTGCAGCCTAAAGCTCCCTGGGAGGCTGAAGGATACGGCGCTTCAAAATTCCACAAGGGGTGAAATACATCAAAGTGCACATCATCTCAGGAGTGTGGAAGCCCCTGACTGATATCTAAGCTGCACAAACAAGTGAAAACCCTGTGCATATTGATGAGTCGTATAAAAGCTAGTAAACCTTGGGCGGCACCTGTGGCTCAAGGAGTAGGGCGCCGGCACCATATGCTGAA